TCAGTTCTGCTCTGATCTTAGTTATTTCCTGTCTTCTGCTAGGTTTTGAGTTTTTTTGATCTTGCTCCTCTAGCTCTTTCAATTTTGATGATAGGGTGTCAATTTTAGATCTCTCCTTTCTTCTTATGTGGGCACTCATTGCTATATATTTTCCTCTAGAGACTGCTTTAAATGTGTCCCAGAGATTCTGGTATGTTGTGTCTTCGTTCTCATTGGCTTCGAAGAACATCTTTATTTCTGCCTTCATTTCATTGTTTATCCAGTCAACATTCAAGAGCAAGTTGTTCAGTTTCCATGAAGCTGTGCGGTTCTGAGTTAGTTTCTGCATTCTGAGTTCTAACTCGATTGCACTGTGGTCTGAGAGACTGTTTGTTATGATTTCTGTTCTTTTGCATTTGCTGAGGAGTGATTTATTGCCAATTATGTGGTCAATTTTAGAGTAGGTGTGATGTGGTGCTGAGAAGAATGTATATTCTGTGGATTTGGGGTGGAGAGTTCTGTAAATGTCTATTAGGTTTGCTTGTTCCAGGTCTGTATTTAGGTCCTGGATACCCTTGTTGATTTTCTGTCTGGTTGATCTGTCTAATATTGACAATGAGGTGTTAAAGTCTCCCACTATTATTGTGTGGGAGTCTAAGTCTCTTTGTAAGTCGTTAAGAACTTGCCTTATGTATCTGGGTGCTCCCGTATTGGGTGCGTATATATTTAGGATCGTTAGCTCTTCTTGTTGTAGTGATCCTTTTACCATTATGTAATGTCCTTCTTTGTCTCTTTTGATCTTTGTTGCTTTAAAGTCTATTTTATCAGAGATGAGAATTGCAACTCCTGCCTTTTTTTGCTCTCCATTTGCTTGGTAGATCTTCCTCCATCCCTTTATTTTGAGCCTTTGTGTATCCTTGCAAGTAAGATGGGTTTCCTGGATACAGCACACTGAGTTTTGGCTTTTTATCCAATTTGCCAGTCTGTGTCTTTTGATTGGGGCGTTTAGTCCATTGACATTTAGGGATAGTATTGTTATGTGTGAATTTGATGCTGTCATTTTGATGCTACCTGGCTGTTTTGTTGGTTAGTTGATGCAGATTCTTGATTGTGTTGATGCTCTTTTACCATTTGGTGTGTTTTTGGAGTGGCTGGTACTGGTTGTTCCTTTATATGTGTAGAGCCTCTTTCAGGGGTTCTTGTAGAGCAGGTTTGGTGGTGATGAAATCTCTGAGTGCTTGCTTGTTCACAAAGGATTTTATTTTTCCTTCACTTATGAAGCTTAGTTTGGCTGGATAGGAGATTCTGGGTTGAAAGTTCTTTTCTTTAAGGATGTTGAATATTGGCCCCCAATCTCTTCTGGCTTGTAGCGTTTCTGCTGAGAGATCTGCTGTGAGTCTAATGGGCTTCCCTTTGTGGGTAACCCGACCTTTCTCTCTGGCTGCCCTTAGCATTTTCTCTTTCATTTCAACCCTGGTGAATCTGACAATTATGTGCCTTGGGGTTGCTCTTCTTGAGGAATATCTTTGTGGTGTTCTCTGTATTTCCTGGATTTGAATATTGGTCTGCCTTGCTGGGTTGGGGAAGTTTTCCTGGATAATATCCTGAAGAGTATTTTCCAGCTTGGATTCATTCTCTTCATCACATTCAGGTACACCTATCAGACGTAGATTAGGTCTTTTCACATAGTCCCACATTTCTTGAAGAATTTGTTCATTCCTTTTTGCGCTTTTTTCTCTGTTCTTGCCTTCTCTTTTTATTTCATTGAGTTGATCTTCGTCCTCTGATATCCTTTCTTCTGCTTGGTCAATTCGGCTGTTGAAGCTTGTACGTGCTTCACGAAGTTCTCGTGTTGCGTTTTTCAGCTCCATCAATTCACTTATACTCTTCTCTATGCTGTCCATTCTCGTCAGCAGTTCGTCCAATCTTTTTTCAAGGTTCCTATTTTCTTTGCGTTGGGTTAAAACATGTTCTTTTAGCTCATTGTAGTTTCTTACTACCCACCTTCTGAAGTCTGATTCTGTCATTTCATCACCCTCCTTCTCCATCCGGTCTGGTTCCCTTGCTGGTGAGGTGTTGTGATCCCTTTTAGGAGGAGAGGTGTTCTGGTTTCGGGAGTTTTCATCCTTTTTGCGCTGGTTTCTTCCCATTTTTGTGGGTTTATCCACCTGTTGTCTGTCTCTGTCCCAGGGAGTTGGAGCTTTATGAGTTTCCGTTGCACTACTGCCTTTTTTTATTTTTCTTTCAGGTGGGACCCGCCCAGCTAGCAGCAGGCCTAGCCACTGCCTGCCCGCAGGGGCTTTGCTGAGCTGCTATGGGCTCCGCCCAGCTGCTCTGAGCTCTTCCCTGTAGTCCTTTTTATATGGGTGTAGTTAGAACTGTCTGGGCAATGGTGGCCCCGCCTCTGTTATGGTGGACTCTCTCTGTTGTGGCAGGTTGCCTCGGCAACGGCGGGTTGCCTCGGCAATGGCAGCCTGCCTCCGTAGCAGTGGAGAGTCTCAGTAATGGTGGAAGCCCCTCCCCCACCGAGCCGGACCGTCCCAGTTCAGCTGTGCTTGGTTTGAAGGGCTCAACCCAGAGGGTTTCCAATTACTGTTTTTGTTTTCGTTGTTGTTGGGGGTGGAGGGGTGGGACCAACCGAGCCTGATCACCTGGCTCCCTGACTCAGAGTCTTTTCTTTTAAGTTGAAGGACCCCGCGTTCAGGTCGCTTGTTGAAAAGGCGCTGGGATCTCCCGTGCTGTGACTCACGGAGTCGGCTCGAACTGCGGCGCCGGCTCCTGGCGGATTTTTTGCCTAGGAATCTCCTGGCCTGACTCGCTATTTCAGCTGAATGGGGAGCTCTGCCATCTCAGGGTTCTGCTCACCAGCTAAGAGGGCTCCTAGACCAGTGGCTTTTGTATGGAGAACCGCAGCAACAGGGAGTGGTCACAGCAGCCGCGCGGGCGGAATCAGCCCCGCGGGGGCCAAAACAGCCGCACCGGCTGGGACTGCGACTCTGGCAACCCCTCTGCCTGGGTATCTCCTGGTCTGTGGGCAATAAGAGTTCGTCTGGAAATGCGGCGTCCACTCACCCTCTGCACTTTCACTGGGAGCTGAAGTCCTGAGCTGTTCTTAGGCGGCCATCTTCCCCGGTATTACATTTTTTATTTCAAATTTCACTTATTCATTCTAGGTACATAAGAAAGTAATTGACTCTTGTGTATTAACCTTGTATCCTAAAACTTTAATATACTCATTTGTTAGTTCCAGGAGTTTTCAGTTGATTCATTCGGATTTTTATGCAGACAATCATGTCATCTGTGAATAAAAGCAGTTTTATTTTTTTCATTACCAACTATATACCTTTATTTTCCTTTTTTGTCTTACTGTTTCAGCTATGACTTCCAGTACAATGTTGAAAGTAGTAGTGACAGGGCTTGGCCCTGCTTTGTTCTCAATCTTAGTGAGAAAGCTGTGAGTTTCTACATTAAGTATAAAGTTAGCTGTAAATTTTTTATAAATATTCTTTATCAACCTGAAGAAGTTCTCCTCTATTAATTAATAGAAGTTCTCCTCTATTAGTTTTTCAGAATTTTTATAATAAACAGGCACTGGATTTTGTCCATTTTTTTTTCTGCACCTGTTGATATAATCATGTGATTTTTCTTCTTTAGCTTGTTGATGTGATGAATTACATTCATTGATTTTTATATGTCTAGTCAGCCTTGCATATCTGGGATAAATCCCACATGGTCATGGTATAACATCTTTGTTCACCAGGTGTGTTGGCCTGCAGTTTTCTTTTCTTGTAACATTTTTTACTTTTTTTCTTTTTGTAGATGGTAGTGCTAGCTCCATAGAATGCATTAGGGAGTATTTCCTCTTTTTCTATTTTCTGTAAAGAATTAGTATAATTTCTTTTCTAAGTGTTTGGTAGAAGTCACTGATGAGCCTTTTCAGGCCTGCTGCTTTCTGTTTTGAAAATTTAATTATTGTTTCAATTTATTTAATAATTATAGACTTATTCAGAGCATCTATTTCTTCTTGTGTTAGTTTTGACAAATTGTCTTTAAGAAGCAATTCATTGTCTCAAGGTTATCAAATTGTGGGCATAGAATTGTATCATTTACTATCCTTTTAATTTCTGTGGGAACTGTAGTGATGTTTCTCTTTCACTTATGAGTAATTTGTGTCCTCTCTCTCTTTCCCTTAGCCAGGCTAGAGGCTTATTGATTTTATTTATGTATTTTTTCTTTTTAAAATAATACCTTTGGATTTTTTTGAGTTTGTCTATTGATTTTCTGTTTTTTTAATTTTATGATTTCTGCTCTAATTTCTATTACTTTTTTTTCTTCTGCTTATTTGGAGTTTAATTTGTTCTTCTTTTTCTAGTTTCTTAAGGTAGGCTCTTAGGTGATTGATTGTAGATCATTATTTTCTAATACATTCTTTCAGTGTTATAAATTTTTTCCTAAGCACTTCTTTTGCTGCATCCCATACATTTTGATAAGTTGTTTTAAATTTCTTGATCCATTTTAATGTCTTGAGAGAATTGTACTCCAACTCTCCTATTTTAAGAACTCTCTTTACTCATACTCATGTCCTCAGGCCCCAGACTTCAAGAAAATATCGTATTTTCTCTTCTTTTTTTCTTCCCCTGTATACACTCTTTTTTCTTCAGATTACTTCCCCTTGCTAGAATAATTGCTTTATAATTCCTTGGGCACTTCTCTCTGAGTGTGTGACAAAAGAGGGAAACAGTTGTGGTAGTATCCTAGGTATCAGAAAAGCACCTCTGGGCTGGATCTGGCATACTCCTTTTAACCTTGAAATTATTGACAGTGGTAGAGATCCTGAGAGATAATATTGGTAAGATAATATTCATGGTTCTGTATGTGAAAAAAGAGTGACAACAGAATATCAAGGTTATATGAATATTTCAATGAACAAGAATAAGGATAGCTTCGTCATTGGAAAGGGGGTGGCATAAGCACAGTTTTTGTGGTGGATAATCAGTTTTTGCTTTCTTCATTATTTCTAGGTTGTGCAGATTCTGATTGCCCTGATGAACCTTAGCATGGGAATCATAATGATGTGTGTTGAATTTATGTCTTATAGACAACGTTCCATTTCCTTCTATGCTGGGTACACAATTTGGGGATCAGTGATGGTGAGTAGAGTATCTTTTGATATAATTGGAGATAACATAATATAGGTGCTAATACCTTGATCTTTGCAATTTTATTCTAACTCTATCTTGTAATTCTGTAAATTTGAGAATAATATCTAACCTTTTTAAACTCAATTTTCCCATCTTTAAAACAGTAATAATAATATAAAACTTAAAGCTAGGCAGATTAAATACTTTATATATGTTAGTTAGAATATATTACAGCAGCAAATTGTCAAAGACCCAAACCAGAATGGCTAAACATTGAAAGAACTGATTGTTTCCCACAAGCTTAGAGGCTTGTCATTTCCAGTATTGCTTAACTCAGTGGTGTAAGGATTTTATCAAGGACTGCTAGCCAACCATATCAGACGGGATATGGTAGCCATGTCTCATTTCTGATAAATATTTTGTGTATATATGCCCAAATCAACCATCAGTAAAGATAACAAACTTGCCACTACTGGCTTGGGCTAATTAAGATTTACCTCTATAGCTGGGAAGAGTCTAAACTACCTTTTAACTTAGGAAAAACTGAAGAGAATGATGGTTTAGTTAGCAAAGAAAAAAAGGAGATGTGGCTGGTACACAGGCAGTTTCTCATATATAGTCTATCGGGTATCAAATCTCAGGAAATTTTTACTTTAAAAATTAAATTGTTATTTGAAATAGTTTGTTTTATAAGTTTACTAGCAGTAACTATAATTAATATTAAATTAAAATTAGAATGAAATTTAAGTTAAAAAAACCTTCTCCCAAGAGAAACCACAAGAGAGTTTTGATGCAAATTGAAAGGAAATTGAGAATAAAATACCGAGTTTTATCTATTGACAAGAGAATAAAATTTATAAGGCAGGTTTATTTTAGAATCAGGGAATCTATTCTAGCATTACAGGGTTTTCATTTATTGCTATAACTGAGAATGAGATACTTCAGAATTTTATCATAGAGCTTACTTTTTGTTCCTCTTCACCTGTGTACAGCAGAAGTGCAAGATCTGAAGGAGATTATATCAGTCAGGGTTCTCTAGAGGGAAATAACTAGTAGGATAGATGTATATATAAAGGAAAATTTATTAAGGAGTATTGACTCACACAATCACAAGGTGAGGTCCCAGAATAGGCCATCTGCAAGCTGAGGAGCAAGGAAGCCAGTCTGAGACCCAGAGCTGAAGAACTTGAAATCTGATATTCGAGGGCAGAAAAGATTCAGCACAGGAGAAAGATGTAAGCCAGAAGACTATACCAGTTTAGTCTTTTTTTTTTAATATTTTTTTAATTGCATTTTAGGTTTTGGTGTACATGTGAAGGACATGCAAGATTGTTGCATAGGTACACACATGGCAGTGTGGTTTGCTGCCTTCCTTCCCATCACCTGTATCTGTCATTTCTCCCCATGCTATCTCTTCCCACCTCCCCACCCCCCCATCCCTCCCCCATTTCCCCCCAACAGATCCCAGCGTGTAGTGCTCCCCTCCCTGTGTCCATGTGTTCTCATTGTTCAACACCCACCTATGAGTGAGAACATGCGGTGTTTGATTTTCTGCTCTTGTGTCAGTTTGCTGAGAATGATGGTTTCCAGGTTCATCTATGTCCCTACAAAGGACACGAGCTCATCGTTTTTGATGGCTGCGTAATATTCCATGGGGTATATGTACCACATTTTTCCTATCCAGTCTATCATTGATGGGCATTTGGATTGGTTCCAGGTCTTTGCTATTGTAAACAGTGCTGCAATGAACATTCGTGTGCATGTGTCCTTATAGTAGAATGATTTATAATCCTTTGGATATATACCCAGTAATGGGATTGCTGGGTCAAATGAGATTTCTATTTTTAGGTCATTGAGGAATTGCCACACTCTCTTCCACAATGGTTGAACTAAAAACCAGTTTAGTCTTAAAGACTATACCAGTTTAGTTCTTCTGCCTGCTTTTAATATGGCCTCCCTGGTAGCTGATTAGATTATGCCGGCCCAGAATGAAGGTGGGTCTGCCTTTCCCAGTCAGCTGACTCAAATGTTAATCTCCCTTCGCAACCACTTCACAGTCACACCCAGGAATGATACTCTGTATCCTTCAATCCAATCAAGTTGGCATTCAATATTGACCATCAAAAGTCTACCCCTTGTCAACCTGAACCTGTACACATCTCCTGAAATCATACATAATTTTCAAATAAAGAAAATAAAGACAATAATAAGGTCAAATTATGCCTAACATAATACAGCTATTTTTTTTTGTATGACCCAAAATGCACCAATCCCAAACTCAAATGCTATTACATAAAGTTAACAACACGTAAATGCCGATATAGAGTTAATAAATATTATGTCACGTGATAAAGGAAAAAGAAAGGAAATAAAATGAAGATATTTTCTTAGTACAAGTGTATACGTGCACAAACATGTTCTTAACAAAAGGAAGAAAATAGTCATGACAATTATGATCTTCATTTCTGCAACTGATCACATGGTCATAGCTGGTATTGATGACAAACTTCTTCTACCCATTCTCTATTCCCTTTGCCTTCAGTAAGCACCTCAGCAAGCCGTGTGTGTGTGTGTTTGTGTGTGTGTGTGTTTTCTGTCAGAGTGACCAAAACCTTCATTCCTGAAGGGTTTGTACCATTTATAGTCCTGCCCAGATTGGGTTGTTGTAGTTTCCCGTTGATCTCAATCATAGGGCATGGTAATACTAAGAGATATCCTAAGGGATCTCGTGCATTCCGCACATACTCTTTCTTACCTGCATTGTGGAGTAATAGACTAATTTTTCTTGATAGTCCAGGTCAGTCACCCTAGCCAACACTGTCACTCCCTTCTTAGCTAGGTAACTTAGAGATAAGCGAAAACCAAAGTGTTCAGGTGGCAATCTTAACTTCCAGTTTAATAAGATCGTTGTTGTGTCTCCTGGTGGCTGCATTCCTTCCTCTGGAAATAAGACCCATAGTCCAGCAGAACATGGTGTCATGGGAACAGGAAGCAAATATTTTGCTAGTAGGTCACTAGGGGTGATGGTGAGTGATGTCACTTCCACTTATACCCGTTGATTTCTGGACCCATGAATCTTGGCTATAGGAGAAACAGTATCTTATATTAGATGCTGATTCAGAGCATACACAGCCTTCTGGAGAAGGCTTTTCCCCAACCCTGAAAAGTATCGTCACCGCCAGGCGTGGTGGCTCATATCTGTAATCCCAGCACTTTGGGAGGAAGAGGTGGGTGGATCATGGAGTCAAGAGATAAAGACCACCCTGGCCAACATGGTGAAACCTCATCTCTACTAAAAATGCAAAAAAAAAAAAAAATTAGCCAGCGTGGAGGCAGGCACTTGTGGTCCCAGCTACTTGGGAGGCTGAGGTGGAAGAATCGCTTGAACCCAGGAGGCAGAGGTTGCAGTGAGCTGAGATTGCACCACTGCACTCCAGCCTGGTGACAGAGCAAGACTCCATCTCAAAAAAAGAAAGAAAGAAAAGTATTTTCACTTAGTTGGTGTTGTAATTGTGACTTCAAAAGCCCATTCCACCATTCTATCAACCCATTCCACCATTCTATCAACCCATTCCACCATTCTATCGACCCAGCTGCTTAAGGATGATGGGAAACATGGTAAGAGCAGTTAATTCCATGAACATGAGCCCACTGCCACACTTCTTTAGCCATCAAGTGAGTGCCTTGATCAGAGGCAATGCTATGTAGAATACCAGGATGCTGGATAAGGAATTCCTTGAGTCCATCAATGGTAGTCTTGGCAGAGCATTGTGTCCTGGATAGGCAAACCCATATCCAAGGTGTCTATTCTGGTGAGGATGAACTACTTCCCTTTCCATGATGGAAGAGGTCCAGTATAATCAACATGACACCAAGTAGCTGACTGATCACCCCGAGGAATCATGCCGTATAGAGGGCTCAGTGCTGGTCTTTGCTGCTGGCAAATTAGGCACTCAGCAGTGGCTGTAGCCAGGTCAGTGAATAGAAGTCCGTGTTGCTGAGCCCATGCATACCCTTCATCCCACACCATCCACTTTGTTCATGGACCCATTGGGTAATGACAGGAGTGGCTGGAAAAAGAAGCTGACTGGTGTCCACAGAACAAATCATCTTGTTCACTTGATTATTAAAGTCCTCCTCTGTTGAGGTCACCCTTTGGTAAGCACTCACATTAAATATAAATATCTTCACAGTTTTTGACCACTCGGAGTGGTTCATTCACATACCTCTTCCCAAAATTTCTTTGTCACCAATTTTCCTTTCATGCTTCTTCTAACTCAAGAAATGCTTGAGTTTTCTAATTTATACAAGCAGAAATCTGGAAAATAGGCATGGGAATGAATATTAAGTGTGGTATAATGGTGGAAGGAACCTAGAGTTGAATCAGGCTGAATTTATTGATTTGGGCCCTCTAAGCAGAAATTCTGCATTTATTGTTGCAGTTTGGAGAGTCAAAAAAAAGGTTCTAGTTTATTTGCTTAGTTATCTGAAACTGGATTAAAAGATGGCCCACTGTGAGTGAGCTAGAAATGCCTTGGTTTAATGTAGAAGAAGGGATCCAAAGGCTTAGGGAGATTGGGATGGGGGAGCAGATTAGTCACGTTAGACCTACTCATCCCAGCTGGGAGGGTTTCTCTTTATCCTTATTTTATGAATGAAGAGAGGTCAAGTAACTTGCGCAAGATCACAACTATTTGGTATAGGAATCAGGGTTCATATAGGGTCATTCTATTATCAGAATCACACACATGTAACTACCTAGTTTTCTGCTTTTATGTCCATTTTCTTTTCAAGATTACATTGAAAACCAGCTTACATGTTTTTAGCCTTCCACACATGTTCAGTAGATTACCAAGAACTGCAGGAGCTGTGTTTGTCCACTGAGACATCACTCAGACTCTTGTAGGCATTGAACTAGGTGAGCCTTTACTTAACTGGCAAACCTTTTTTTGCTACTACCTTACATTATTCTTTCAACCTTTTTTTTCCAAACATCACCTGTTAAGTGCCTCTCTTTTCTCCCTTTTACAGTGTAAGTACCAATACCAACAACCAGCTGCAAGTCTCTATTATCTTTGGCCTCTTCAGTTCTGTTCCTATTTATGTTTCACATCCTTTGTTAAGGTTTTTTTCTCTGAGATACTATACGTGTAATTTTTCCTGTGGTAAATGAAGTCCTTTTATTCAATCCTATCTTCAAATATACAAGCATACATACACACTTCTAATACATATATGTAATTTCTCTATATAACGTTTTTGCAAGGTTCTTTACTGAAATTTTTAGTTTATGGTACTTTTAGTTCATCTTTTTGAATGTTTGCAATATATATTATTTATACTTAAATAACAGTAGTTTAGCCATTTGTTTCAACTGTTTTTTTATATAATTATTTTGGTTAATATACCCCAAATAATAATACATAATAGTCTACATCTTTATCTTGATTTTGACTTTAATAAGATGGTCCTACTTCTTTATCATTAAGCATGGTAAAGACTTGTAGACTGAGATGGATGTTTTATCATGCTACAGAAAGTATAGTTCTTTATATTAAACCAATAATATTTAAGTCACTAACCTTATTGAATTGTATTAAACATCCCATGCTATCAACACTGTAAACATGAAAAGGAATTAGCATGTAATGTTTTTCTTAATTTATTACATACAATAGAATATTTCAATATTAAAAATCTTTGTAGAGTTGAAGGAACATCCCAAATGTTTATGATGTATTTCATATCCTATGATGGATGATTTGTTCTGCTTTTTTTTCAATGGTGATTTAGATGACATGAATCATTTCTATGTCTGAGTATTTGGAAACTAAAGAAATTTATTGAACTATTTTGTTAGTTCAGTTTCTTTATATTAAGATACAATTTTTGAATCATCTGGGATCAAATTTGCAAAGGAAATTTTGAAAACCTCACACAATGGAATATTATAAGGTAGAGAGTCCAACCAATTTGACTAGCTATTTTGACTAAATGAAAAATAATTACCCTATTGTTGGTTTCAAATGAAGCAGTATATTATAGTCATCAAATTATTGGGAATTAAATTTTATGTCCTAATATTTTATTTTATAAATTTTTAAACATATTTTAATGAGAATGATTTTAGTGTATTTTTTATTATATTCAATATTGATATCATATAAGAATTATTTCTCATCAAGAATTTGTAAGCTTTATCTTTTAGGGCCCTCAAACAGTTTTAATGCCATTCCAGTTGTTTATCATTTGAAAAGCTTGGTAAATTATATGATAGACTCATCTGGCAGAATTTGTCTGTTCTTTATGGAAAAAGAGAAAAGTACATGCAATCTCTTGTTTTCTAAGATAATTGACTTGTTTATACATATCTATCTAATTTGGAATTAAGTTTAGTACATTGTGATTTCCAATACCTGTTTAAAGTTTTTTATCTTCATTTTTTTTCTCTCATTCCTAGTTTGTTATTTCAGGATCCTTGTCAGTTGCCGCAGGAATTAGAACTACAAAAGGTCTGGTGAGTAATAATTTGTTGGGGGGGTATCAAAAAGAAAGGATTAATAAAAAATGTATTCTGCCAGGGTATAAACAGGTTTTGTTTGTTTGTTTTTTAAAAAATCAGGAGTGATTGTGCATTTTATTTAGCAGAATCTGTCTTTCAAAAATTGTAATCAGGCTAATGATAAAATTACTGACATAATAATGGATATTTTGTCAAGGTAGTTGCTGAGGAAATCTTTATGGAGATATAGAGAATTATTGAGAACAAATATCAAGTGGGATAACTCAAAAAAAAAAAAAAAACTCTGCAGCTTGGGATTCCGCCCATGAGAGTCACAACAAGTATTTGTGTGGCATAATGTTGATTGACAGATTAAAAGGTAGATTCCGGTCAGGCACTGTGGCTCATGCCTGTAATCCTAGCACTTTGGGAGGCTCAGGCAGGTGGATCACTTGAAATCAGGAGTTCGAAACTAGCCTGGGCAATATGGTGAAACCCCATTTCTGCTAAAAATACAAAAAAAAAAGTTAGCTGGGCTTGGTGGCAGGTGCCTGTAATCCCAGCTACTTGGGAGGCTGAGGCAGGAGAATTGCTTGAACTCAGTAGGTGGAGGTTGCAGTGGGCCAAGATTTCACCACTGCACTCCAGCCTGGCAACAGAGCAAGACTCCATCGGAAAAAGAAAACAAACAAACAAACAAACAAACAAAAATAGATTCCAACTGTATCCAAAAAGGATTTGAGTTTTCAATATAAGAAATTCACAATAAAATTGTTACATAAGAAGCAAATTTAAAATATAACTCTTATGTCAAGATGCCTTTCAAAAAGCCAATAAAGTGTAAAAGCCAAGATCTCAATGAGAGTTTTTCTGGCTGAACACCATATTTGAGTTTTCTTTGTTCAAAAGATAAATATCAAACTCTGGAGCATGATCAACATGGGTTTTCCAAATCTGGCCTAACCCAGCTTCCTGATATCCTGCAGGTGTCCTTCCAGGGACCTGCAGCCATACTATACGCCTCATACTTTCCTGTGCAATTTTAGTTTGTATAAAAAGCCTCCTTACCTTTACCCGTGAGAAGAGAATGTACAGAAAGGAAAACACAACCTAGAAAAATAATTTAAAAGTTAGAGAGTTACAAGAGGCAAGCAGCATTTAGAACAATAATAAGAGATCTGACACCAGAAGCAAGGAATGGCAGGGAAGGACACAGACAGGATGGTCCAGCTAACATGTAAAAATCACTGAAAATCCTACTACATGATCTGGAGATTATCTCATGAGCCCACAGGAATCATCTGAAGAATTTAAGCTGGAGAATAATAGGATCATATTTGTGTTTGGGCAAGAGATTAGAGTTGAAACCACTATAAGGAGACAACATAGAAGACTATTGAAATAATGAAGCTAAAGATAGATGGCAGTAAGAAATGGTGGGTGTAAAGTGATTCATGGAGATATATCTGAGGATGCTGTTGGATTGCTTAAGTAATTTTCATTTCTTTCTAGGTCAGAGGTAGTCTAGGAACGAATATCACCAGCTCAGTCTTGGCTATCTCAGGGATCATAATCAATGCAATAAGCTTGATGTCTTATCTATTCCGTTACCACTACTGTGGCTACAATCAGTTGTCAAATAATTGTTATTTGACTTTGTCCATTTTAATGGTGAGTGCTTCATCTTTTCATGAGATACTATTATAGAAGCAAGTTTGGGGGAGTGCTGGCTCTGGCAATGACAATAATTAACATTCCCTAATTGCTGAATGACTTTGGAAGTTGGAAGTGATTGAGAAATAGAATAATAATCTTTTATTTGGGAAGAGATAGCATGGGGAGAAATGACAGATACAGGTGAGGGGACGGAAGGCAGCAAACCACACTGCCATGTGTGTACCTATGCAACAATCTTGCATGTTCATCACATGTACCCCAAAACCTAAAATGCAATAAAAAAATAAAAAAATAAAAAAATAAAAATAAGAAAAAAAAAAGGAATCAGGTACACATCTCATCTCTGTCTTTATTTTTCCTCTATATGTGGTGAGACAAAATGGGAGGAAAGCTTATCGTTATAGAACACCTAGTCCTTAATAGTTACTGCGTTGGGTATTTTGCATAAATTTTTTTGTTTAATTTTAAAACATTGATGTAGTGTGTACTGTTATCTTCTATAAAAATGGGGCCCAGATGTCGTTCCCTATTCTCTAATAATGAAGTAAAATTGTCTTGAACAGCATTTCACAAGTGGTGAGTAACTCAGTATGCTTTCCGACATCTTTGGATGTTCTTGCAAGGTTAATCACTTTTATCTTCAACATGTGGCACCCGAAAAATTCTCAATCTCCATTCTAAATTTTACTACCTTTTTTTTTCTAGTTGTCCTTATTTCAATGCTCTCTTAATTGCTTTATTCAGAAAATTGTCACTTATACAATATTTTGTAGATAATAAAATTTCTTGATTTTTTTTTTTTTTTTTTGGCCATTGGGTAAGTGTAAGGCAGAAGAGTTTTTGCAGCATATCACCGCAGACTAAAATGCACAATTAAATCTTTATTATTAAAAGGCCTATTGGCTGGGCACAGTGGCTCATGCGTGTAATCCCAGCACTTTGGGAGACAGAGGCGGGTGGATCACCTGAGGTCAGGAGTTCTAGAGCAGGCTGGCCAACATGATGAAATCCCATTTCTACTAAAAATACAAAAATTAGCCAGATGTGGTGGTGTGTACCTGTAGTCCCAGCTACCTGGGAGGCTGAGGCAGGAGAACCACTTGAACCTGGGAGGCAGAGGTTGAAGTGAGCCATGATCACGCCACTTCACTCCAGTCTGGGTGACAGAGTGAGGCTCCTTCTCAAAAAAAAAAAAAAAAAAAAAATGCCCATTGGTCATTTTCAACACCACCAAATTTTCTGTTACTTTCCCTCTATAAGTGCTTTCAGCTTTCATTTTGCTACTTAGTTCTGTTCCTCACTGTGCCCTTCCCTCACATGTATGTGGAAACTCCACATTCTTCCTAACTTACTAGACAGAATAAATTGCATTCCATTTATTTCATTCCTAGCTAATCCCACATAGTCTTGAGGGCTATATGGTCATACCAAAATAACCACTTAAGGTGTCTTTGCTAAACGAATTTACTGCCCTTGAAATATCTAATGATTTTTATAGTAAGCAATTTTATTTCTTGCCACTCACTCAAAATAAGAAAAGAAAGCTTCTTTTGAGAATTTCACAAATTTTTCCAAAGTCACACAGTTAGAAATTGGCAAAAGCAGGATTAGATTGTACAACTTCTTGTCTCTAATTCCCTTCTTATTTGCTATTGTTATCTTGAAGAAGAACCTTACTTTCAGTTTATGAAGATCTCTTCATTCATAGACTTTAATAGCACTAGGATAGAGACAAAATCTGGAATTACCCAGCATCATAGGGCTAATTTCCTGGGCATGGGACCTGTGCAGTTACTCAGGACTTCACAGTTATAAGAGCCCTGTGCTTGATCTAATCTTCTGCTGTTGCTATCTTGAATTTATTCTTAGAAATTTTAAACAAGAGACTCTGTAAGTTACATGGCTGTTTCTGCATTCATCTCAATCACTTTTTCCCAGAGGCCATCCTGAATTCCTGTTAATCATGGAATAACAGTATTAACAGGAATATAAACATTTTATATGCCTGTTCTTATAGCAGAGGACTTCCATAAGGGCTTTCTGGGATTCGAAACAATGGGTCTATTCTTGCCTGGGCACCTGCACAATCAATCCACAGGTCTATGAGCCAATATTGTATGCCCCATCACAGGGTTGTCACTCCAGTAGACATAAGATGGAAAATAGTTCCCTACTATAAAGAAGCATCAGTTCTCCTGGAAGAAAAAGATAGAAACGCTGGAAAGCATGTAATTATTAAAGAGCCTAGAAAAAGTTAAGCTCTAGAAAAAAGTAGTAAGGGTCTACTACCCAGAATCATTAGGCGGCACCAGAAGAAATTGCCAATGATCAACTATACTTAACCTAGAAGGACAGCAGTTTCATAAATTCCTGTTAATTGTGTGAACATTTTTATGCCTGTTCTTATAGCAGAGGACCTCCCTAAGGGCTTTCTGGGATTTGAAGCAATGGGTCTATTCTTGCCAGGGCATCTGTACAATCAGTCCACAGGTATACATATATCATACTTTTTTTGGAAGTCCAGCCCCATATTTGTTTTTGTAAATAAAGTTTCATAAATAAAGTTTAATTGAAATATAGTGAAGCCCACTTGTTTACATACTGTGTAATGCTGCTTTTGTGTGATAACAGCAGGTTTGAATATGTGTGACAGAGACCTTGTGGTTTTCAAAACCTAAAATGTACATTATCTGGCTTTTACAGAAATCTTGCCTTCTTTCAGTCTACCCTTCTAGATGCTAAAATCCTCGAAGACAGGGGAATTGTCTGTTTCATTTGCTGCTCTATTTTCTGTGCTTACAACAATGTTTGAAACACAGAGACCACTACGTCTGTTGAAGGCACCAGAAAAACAAATCAGCAATGAATGCACATATTCTCAAGGTCTCCTTAAGTCTGCATCACTCATATCCTGAGCTCTTCGGCAACACAGGGACTATCCCTAACTACGGAGAGAAAAAGAGAATATTTAAACCAGATAATCCTTGTGTCAATCCAGGGTAAAATTAATAGAAATCAGTGTACTGCCCAATGTTCTCCAAATTTTGACTGTATTTCTTGGCTGAGGATTAGACCTAAAGTCGGTGCTCTCGGGAGATGGAATAAAGACTGACCTACTTGGTGTTCACTGTTGTGTTAGCTTCTTATTGTTACTATAACAAATTACTATGAATTTAGTGTCTCAAGACAACACAGTTTGGTTACATTTCTGGAGGTCAGAAGTTCAAAACGGAGCTCACTAGGCTAAAATCAGGGCACTGGCAAGGCTGCACTCCTTTCCGAAGATTAGGCGATGGTAAGTTCTATTGCCTTTTCTGGCTTCTGTAGGCTACCTATGTTTCTTGGTTTATCATCACATCCTCTACCTTCAAATCAAGAAGTGCAGCATCTTCAAATCTCTCTTGAACTCTATTCTGCCTCTTGCTTCCACTTAAAAAGATTCTGTCATTACTTTGAACCCACCTGAATAATCCCAAAAAATTCTCCCCTTCTAGCTAATAAGCAATCTTAATTTCATCTGCAAATTTAATGCTTTTTGCTATGCAAAAAGAACAATGGTCCCCCAGGGAGGTCTGCATTCTAATCCCCAGAACCTGAGGATTAGGGGACTAGGATGCAGACCTCCCTAGGTACCATTACTCTGCTTTCAATCACTGAGATATGGAATCATAGTATTTTGTCAATGATATGAATTTCTAGTACTCAAAAGGACTAAGATGATAATTGTCTTTATACTGCCTTCCTGACTTTTTAAATCACTTTCATCTTTCTTACGCATAATAGCACTGGGAAGTACTGAACTAGGGAATAAATGTCCATGATTATTTTGTCAGTGAAAAAAGTGAGAAGTTACTTCAGCAGATCAAGAATCAGTCAAGGGTATGGCTGCAATTGGGAGGCAGGTTTCCTGACTCCTGGCCAGGGCTTTTCCTCTTGTGACATTGTGGTTACTGGTAAATGTTTTCACCTGTCATCTCCGTTTCTCACATTTCTTTGGTATGAGTTTTCTCCTAGGGTATGGATGGCTTGGTGCTCCTCTTAAGTGTGCTGGAATTCTGCATTGCTGTGTCCCTCTCTGCCTTTGGATGTAAAGTGGTCTGTTGCAGCCCTGGTGGGGTGAGTTTTGACCTTCATTTGAAGATGTCTGCATTAGTTTTCTATTGCTGCATAATCAATTACACAAACTTAGAATCTTAACATAGAACACATCATTATCTCTCAGTTTCCATGGGTCAAGAGTCTGGGCCCAGCTGAAGTGGGTCCTCAACTCAAGATCTTACAAGGCTATCATCAGGAAGTTGGCTGGGGCTGTGGCCTTGTCTGAAGCTTCTGATTCTCTTCCGTGCTAATGTGGCGGAATTCATTTCCTCTCAGTTGGAGAATTCACGACAATGCACATTTTGTTTGAGACCAACAGGAGAGTCAGTTGCTAATGTTTTAATCCTCTCATAAAGGGTTCACATGAACAGGTGAGGTCCATCCAGAATAATGTCTTTTTTGATAAACTGAAAGTCAGCTAGTCAGCACCTACTCACAAGACTTGTATCCCATCTTATACACAGGTTCCATCCACAATGGAGGGGAGGGAATCATCAGGGGTCAGTGAGTGTCACCTTAGAACTCTGCCTACCACAGTAGCTACATAAAAGTTCTTTTTCCCCTTCCTTTCTACCTCAAAGAACATAACCTCTGAATCCAGATAAGAAGATACTTCACAAGGAAGAGGTCCCCAAAAAGTACTTGATTTTATTCCATTATCCTATTATAATACTTTTCCTGGAATGCCAAAGAAATGTCAGGATCTCAGACTTCTCTGTCAGTCTGTTCCCAACTGCCCACTCTCTTGCCCTGAGACCTGCAGCAGATGCTCCTGGCAGCTAAGCCAAAAGAACATCACACAAAGAGGAAAGTGGAGAATGGAAGGAGAGAAGAGATCAAGAAAGAGGCTCTAGGAAGAATGGGGAGGGATATCCTCCAAGAATTGAGGGTTCCAGAATGAGGATATCGACAGTAAAACCCCAGCAGCTACTCATTAGCTTCATTACCCAAAGGTTGACAGGCAGACAAAACCAACAACAAAATTGTAATCTTAGTTTGATGAGATTGTTCCTCTGGTGTCCTTTTCCATCATTTTGTACCACCCCATCTTCTTTTGGGATTCCCAGGTAACACCACATCCCACTCCCCCACAGCTCTTCCTCACAGAAGAGAGATTGACTGTAGCACATTAACTCTAGTAGTGGGGTTTTGCACTGTAAAACCCTGGAAGTGAGAGATTCTCAGCAATTTCATCAAGTGAAGTAACTTTCATGTCATAAGATTTAAGCCTAGGCCGGGCACGGTGGCTCAAGCCTGTAATCCCAGCACTTTGGGAGGCTGAGGCGGGTGGATCACGAGGTCGAGAGATCAAGACCATCCTGGTGAACATGGTGAAACCCCGTCTCTACTAAAAAAATAAAAATAAAAATAAATTAGCTGGGCATGGTGGCACGTGCCTGTAATCCCAGCTACTCAGGAGGCTGAGGCAGGAGAATTGCTTGAACTCAGGAGGCGGAGGTTGCGGTGAGCTGAGATCGCGCCATTGCACTCCAGCCTGGGTAACAAGAGCGAAACTCCGTCTCAAAAAAAAAAAAAAGATTTAAGCCTGTGTTCCCTTTGGCTCTTAGCGTAGAAGCTGGGAAATGTTGTTTCCCTAATCTGGTGTGAGTCCAGAGAAGCAGTGGCTTTGGGGCATATCTTAACTAAATCTGTATTTCTTCCTGGTTCCCCCACCATGCTCTACCAACCCAATGTTGCACTGAGTTTGTGGAAGAATAACTGAACTTTTCTTAGTTTCATGATGATCCCTGCTATTCTGAGCCAGTGTGGTTTTTGCAAATGCTTTATCCATAATCAGCAAATCATGATTTGGGTATGTTGATAACATCAGCATGAACAACCTGGTTTGGAAGAAGAGCCCCATATTTTTCATGACACCTTGGTTTACCAAATGTCTTTTGCACTATCATCTACATGTAAGATTGATTCACTTCAAGACCAGGGCAGTGGTCATCAACAGCTCAGGTCAAGAGCTATCACTGAATGTTATGTCCTAAATCTGGCTTGATCTAGAGGATGACTGAGAAGTCCCACGTGCTTGATCTTGAGAATGAATCAGAGAAGAAAAGAGTAAACTCTGGTCATGATGAATTTATGTGGGGAGTAAATGAGCACCCTGAGGTTATTTGGGTGACTCACGTATGGCATTCTGATTGTTTCACAGGTTGTGTTAATTCTGCCACCAAATTCTCACATGGCAGAAATAGCATCTCCCGAACTACTTAAGACAGTTTGATACCACCAAAAGATCAACAGAAGAATGCTCCAGAAATCTATGCTGACTGTAACACAAGAACCCCACAGGAGAAAATACCAGAATCCAACTCCGATACTGATAGATATATTGATATCATTATTTTATGTAATCCAATTATGAACTCTGTGTGTATGCATATATGTATATCAATTCAAAATCATGTTCTCATTTTTTCTCCTGGTATTCAAAAACTCATTTCACTGACTGTTTTTTGAGAGCACTAGAGCTAAAATAAATAAATAATGCATTTAATGAGGCAACAGTATTTGAAAGTTTTCATTCATCATCAGTCATTTAATGCCTTTCTATAAAGGCATTAAATTGGCAAATAAGATTTGGAAGCAGAAGAGCAAAAAGGTATTGCTAAAACGAGGCCTCCATGCAAAACACATACTTCTGCTCCCCTGTATAATATTCCTCCCACTTATTTGACGTTTTTTTCTGTCATATTTGGGGACCGAATAGTCGATCTTGGAGAAAGTTTCATGCACTGTTGAATAGAGTGTATATTCTGCAGTTGCTGGATGAAATGTTCTGTATATATCTGTTAAGTTCATTTGTTCCAAGGTATAGTTTAAATCCATTGTTTCTTTGTTGGCTTTCTGTCTTGATGACCTGTTTAGTGCTGTTAGTGGAATATTGAGGTTCCCAACTATTATTGCGTTTCTGTCTATCTCATTTCTTAGGTTTATTAATAATTGTTTTGTATATTTGGGAGTTCCAGTTTTAGGTGCACATATGTGTAAGACTGTGATAGTTTCTTGTTGGACAGGGCCTTTTACCAATATATAATGTCCCTCTTTGTCTTTTTTAACTGCTGTTGCTTTAAAGTTGGTTACGTCTGATATAAGAATAATTACTTCTGCTCACTTTTGGTGTCCATATACATGAAATGCCCTTTTCCATATCTTTACTTTAAATTTATATGAGTCCTTATGTGTTAAGTGAGTCTCTTCAAGGCAGCAGATAGTTGGTGAATTCTTATCCATTCTACAGTTCTGTATTTTTTAAGTGGAGCATTCTGTAAGTCCAGTTGCATTCAATGTTAGTATTGTGATGTGAAGTACCATTCCATTCATCACACTATTTGTTGCCTGTGTACCTTGGTTTTTTGTTTCTTAAATTGTATTTTTATTTTATAGGTCCTGTGAGATTTATGCTTTAAAGACATTCTTTTTTTGTGTGTTTCCAGGATTTGTTTCAAGATTTAGATCTCCTTTTAGCAGTTCTCGTAGCAGGGGCTTGGTAATGGTGAGTTTTCTCAGCGTTTGTTTGTTTGTCTGTCTGAAAAAGACTGCATGTCTCTTTCTGATATGCTGGTTAGTTTCACTGGATACAAAAATCTTGGCTGATAATTGTTTTGTTTGAGGAGGCTGAAGATTGAGCCCCAATCCCTGCTAGCTTGTAGGTTTCTGCTGAGAAATCTGCTGTTAATCTGATAGGTTTTCCTTTATAGTTTACCTGGTGATTCTCTCTTACAGCTCTTAAGATTCTTCCCTTCATCTTAACTTTAGATAATCTGATGACAATGTACCTAATTTCCCAGTGATGAATTTCCCAGGTGTTCTTTGTGCTTCTTGTATCTGGAAGATAGGTCTCTAGCCAGACCAGGGATGTTTTCCTCAATTATTTCCCCAAATATATGTTTCAAACTTTTACATTTTTCTTTCTCAGGAATGCTAATTATTCTTAGGTTTGGTCATTTAACAAAATCCCAGGCTTCTTGGAGGCTTGTTAATATTTTCTTATTCTTTCTCTTTTTTTGGTCTTTGTTTGATTGGGTTAATTCGAAGACCTTGTCTTCAAGCTCTGAATTTCATTCTTCTACTTGTTCAATCCTGTTGCTGAGACTTTCCAGAACATTTTGCATTTCTTTAAGTGCAATTTTGTATTTCCTGAAGTTTTTATTGTTTTTTATTTATGCTATCTATTTCATTAAATATTTCTCCCTTCACTTCTTGTAACATTTTTTGGATTTTCTTGTATTGGGCTTTGCCTTTCTCTGGTGCCTCCCTGATTAGCTTAATAATTAACCTCCTAAATTCTTTTCCAGGTAAATCAGGAATTTCTTATTGGTTTGGATCCATTGCTGCTGAGCTACTGTGGTTTTGGGGGGTGTTAAAAAACCTTGTTTTGCCATATTACAGGAGTTGGTTTTCTGGTCCTTTCTCATTTGCATAGGCTCTGACAGAGAGAAGGTCTGAGGCTGAAGGCTGTTGTTCAGATTCTTTTGTGCCAAGGGGTATTCCCTTGATGTAGTACTCTCCCCCTTTTTCTAGAGATGTGACTTCTTGAGAGTCAAGCTACAGTGATTGTTGTCCCTTTTCTTGATCTAGCCACTCTGCGAGTCTACCAGCCTTCGGGCTGGCATTGGGGGTTTTCTGTACAGAGTCCTGTAATGTGAACCATCTATGGGTCTCTCAGCCATGGATACCAGCACGGTATTTGGGATGTCTCCCTGTCTTGCAGGAGATATCCTCTTCCTTCAAAGGATCTGTGGGTTCTCTCAAGTTTCCTGATTTATTTCTGTAGTCATTCTGGATCTAAAATTTACAATGCAGGCCTCCACACACTGCTTTGTCTGTCCGAGTCAGAGCTGCAATCAGGCCTGCCTACTGTCTACCATGATGGACCTAAAATATACTATTTTGCATTTTCTTCCCTTCTTAATTATTTTGTCTCTGGCATTTATTTTTGTTAGTATTGTTTATTATTATAAATTGAATATGTTTTTTGTGTTGTTGACAAGTATGACATTAGTACTTAATACAGAGCCTACCATCACCTAACTGACCTTAGCTGTTAATATTTTACCATATCATAAAGAAATATTAGTCTATTCCTATATCTAATTATAATCTTTTAATTATTGTCTATGTGCTGATATCTCACTTATTTCTCCAATGTTTTATTAATATTTCACAGATTTTAATACCCAGCATTTATTCCCATTTGTTCTGACAATTATGACCTAATTTCCTCCAAAATATCACCATTATCTAATTCTTAATTTAGGTACAAGGGTGGAGCTCACTCAACTCCCAGCTCCAGGAGTTGACCTGCGCCCTACATCTGGGAAATGGCAAAAATTACATCAACTCAGCTAGAGTGAAGTTCTGTGGTAGCTTTGTGATGTAGGAAAAACCAATTGTGTAAATGACTGACACGTTTCCAATCAAAACTAATCTCATCACTTTCACTTCACTGTCCAGGAAATGATCTTCCCCTCCTTCCTGTTTCCTGTTGGACTTGAAGCTGTGAGGAGGTAAGTTTGCTGCTGTCATGTCCTTTGCATGTCCAAGCCAGAGTTTACCTCAAGTTGGGTCAATTCCTGGTGTTTTACATATATAAAGGCAAGAAAAGAGCATTAACTGCAATAACTGGGGAAAATCCTTCAGTGACTTCCTCTCTAATTCAGAATAAAAGCCAGAACTCACACTAAATCCTACGAGCCCTTACATCACCTGATTCTTGTTCTCTCTTGGATTTTGTAAAATATCCTAACTTACATCCTGATATATTGCTTTGAGATTATTTTAAATGGCATGAGAATACCTTCTCTTAGTTTAAATTAGAACATATATAAACTTTTTAAGGTTAACACTTACATAAGCAACCTAAGATTAGTGCATTTTTAGTTGTAAAAAGTTAATAAAAATATCTTAGGCTATTCATGCAAGATACTATGATTTCAACTTGTAGAGACTACATCATTTATTTCATATCATGCGATTTTAAATGTTTTCTCCATTTGGTTATTCTAGGTTCTATCTATATATGATTAGGAGGTAAAGCAGTAGGAAAATGTCCGTGAGCACTTTGCCTTCTTTTGCTACCTTTACAATAAAAATAGTTATTCTTTTTATTTATTTATTTTTGAGATAGGGTATGGCTCTGTCACCCAGGCTGTAGTGCAGTGCAAGGGTGTGATTCTGGCTCAATGCAACCTCTACCTCCTTGACTTAAGTCATCCTCCCACCTCAGTCTCCCAAGTAGCTGGGCCTACAGGTGTGCACCGCCCGGCTTATTTTTGTATTTTTTGTAGAGATGAGGTTTCGTTATGTTGCTCAGGTTGGTCTTGAACTCCTGAGCTCAGGCAATCCACTCACCTTGGACTCCCAAAATACTGGGATTATAGGCATGAGCCAATGCACCTAGCCAAAATAATTATTCTTCATATACATGATTAAATTCCCCACAACTTACTAGCTGTGGGCAGCTTATCATTGTGTTGCCTCAGTTTCTTCATCTATGAAAATTACAATAGTAGCTACCTTGTAGGTTCTTATGAAGGCTATAGGTATTATTAATACTTGTAATCACAGAATGAATATTGACACTGGTAGGTGATATGTAAAGAATGGTGAGTGATACTGATAGGTGATATATAAAGAATTATTTAACAAATAAAATGAAAACAAATAACAAAGTAAAAATAAACAGGCTAAAGATTAAGATAAGTCTTAACATGAGCACGTAAGCAGTCATCCTTTTAAATATGCAGGAAAAGAAACACATGGGGTGTCCACAGAGTTCTGAATTTTAAATAAGTGTACTAAGTATAAGAATAATGTCCACATGGGTCACAAAGAAACTGTACTATCCTGAAAATCAGTAATGTGCATTAACTTTAGTGAAGTTTTAGAAGTGGCAATTTACAATATTCCAGTTTCAAATTTATTATCAGAATAATCTAAGATTCTCTAAAAATGGAGTCATCTTCCCACAAGCCTATTTTCCATGGAGTCATTGTGAGTTATGCAAAACGAAGTACCAATTATAGGACACAGTTTTCCACTGTCAATAGTGATATGCAGTTGGGATAAAGTAGTGAATCTTTTTCTCTAAGAGAGGTGTATTAACTTCTACAGCTGTCATGTTGAGAATGACATGGGGCAGAACAGGGCATCTGGAGTCAGGTTGGAAGGATAATCATCCTGCAAGAATCAGCAGTGCACCCATGTGATATAAATCAATTTTGTGTTTAGGAAAAACTCAGTGAGGGTTACTTAGTTGCTTTGATGTATATTTGGAAACCAGGACTGTTTTCAGTTTTGGTGATAGCTCTCCGATGGCTATCTGAGAGGATTTTTAGGACAGAAGAAACATAGTAGGGAACAAGAAAAAAACTATAATCTAAGCCAGTGTAGTGTAACACAAGTGCATGCAATCAGATAATTTTAGAATGCTACTGACCAGAATGAATGGCAAGCTCCCATACATTCTATATACAAAGCATCAAAAAGTTATTTAAAAA